CTCTCTCTCTCTCTCTCTCTCTCTCTCTCTCTCTCTCTCTCACACACACACACACACACACACACCTGTGCAGAAATGGAGGGGAATCTGTGAGCAGCCTTACCAGAGGCAGACTCCACCATGGCCTTCATCTTCAGGGAAAGCAGCTCTGTCAACAGGTGGATGGACTGCCGCTGGAACTTGTGCAGGGTATCTTGGCCAGGGGGGGCCACTCGAGCAGAGGCAGGCGTGGGGGCTGAGTGCTTGCCCCCGCTGGTGGCCGTGAGCAGTATTGGGGGTGGTGGTGGTGGTGGAACTGGCTTCTTCTGCATGGGGGGCTGCACTGGGATCACCTCTGCAAGCACCACTGTAGGAGCCCCAAAGGTGATTACCAGATCCTGGATGTCAGATGGGGTGGGCACTGCAGGGTCGGTGATGAGCTCCTCCCAGGTGAACTCAAAGATATTCCTGATGCCTTTTGGGATGGAAATGCCTGCGTTTCGGCAGACAATGAGGAGTTTGGAGACGTGGGCCAGCAGTTTGGGGGCTGTGGCTGAGTATTGTAGGAACAGTTCTCGGTTACTTTTGACCTGGTTCATGTCGTCTGGGCAAGCATACTGCTAGGTGATACTGTCCATCTCAGAGGAGAGGGACCTTCAGCTGTAAAGACTCAGCAGTCTGAGAAGTGAAGTGACTAGGGTCAGAAGCTCTTACCTACAGAGAAGCCTTGGGAAAAGATGGAGTGCACATGCAGAAATAACCCTCACAGGTCATCCAGCCAGCAGTTTGTCTCAGAAGGATAAGGAAGTTGCTGGTCATTTTTCCATGCTAGAACAAAGCATTGTTCCCTTCCCTCATCTTTCCAGGAATAGCAATGAGTGAGTTACATTGGGACAGGCCTGCTGCTGAGGATGGGCCCAGAGAAGTTCCAGAGAGGGTCACAGAAACTGAGTTCCTAGATGAACAAAAGGGCCAGGGCAAGGAGGAAAGTCTCACCAAACCTTTTGTAGTTAGTGACCTGATGGTGGAAGATCTGCCTGTGGTCTACTGATAAAAGCCTGCAAAAACAAAAGGATGCCATTGGCTCTCTCCAGAGACAAGGGACATGGGAGCTCCTGGTCACAAACCTGGGATGGGCATTGGATTACTCAACACATACAACCTAGGCCACGTGGCAAAGCATAAAGGATAATGCAACCCCACAGTTCAATATCTGATACCACAGGCCACATTCCACCAAAGTTAGGACAGCAACAATTGGAAAATGGCACTGTTAGAAGGATGCCATTGATGTAACACAACTGCCAAGAGGTTACAGTGTGAACAATGCATACCCTTACATTAGTGGACTGTGGGAAGCATTTTCCCTCTTTTTTTTTTTTTTTTTTTTTTTTGAGACAGGATTTCTCTGTGCAGCTTTGGTGTCTGTCCCGCATCTTGCTCTGTAGACCAGGCTGGCCTCGAACTCACAGAGATCTGCCTGCCTCTGCCTCCCCAGTGCTGGGATTAAAGGCATGTGCCACCACTGCCCGGCAGCATTTTCCCTCTTTAACAGAGCTGCTTGAGGGCTCTCAGTGTTCAAGTAAGCATGGGTGGGGTTGGGGGGGGGGTTGGGTTTAGCCTATAACACATCTATGAAAACATAAATCCTCCTTTGGCCCTTATGCTGAATAAGAACAATGCCCAACAATGCCTGCTTATTTCTGAGGGCCTTCATGAGGATATAAACCTGCGCAGGAGGGTAACATGCAGGACTGTCCATTTGAAGGAAGCTCAAGCAGGATTTTCTTTCCTCTTGTGGCCTTTCCAGCATCTCTCTACAGTGCTGGCTCATCTCTGCCATCTATCTAGAAGCCAATTCAGCACGTTTGCCATGATGTTAACCACAAGAGCAGAGGGCAGGCTGCTGGCTACACCAGCAGTGAGTGCAGCTGTCCAGCCATCTCTTTTTCCACTTTCCATCCTGACCACCACTTTTCCACACAGGCAATCCTCTTCCCCTTTTCAAGCTCTGATCTTGGGGGCCACCCCAAGTTCCAGGACCATTCCAGGACAGCTCCCCAGGCACACACCTGTAGTACTTGCAGAGAAAGTCCAGGCCTACTAGCTGTGCACAACCTGCTGTGAGAAGACTTTTCTCTCTCCTAACTTGCTGATGAGGGACCAGAGTTCTGGACTGGGAGATGTCTGTCCCTAGAGTTAAAGCATGGAGGCTTTTGCAAACACTATACCACTTCTCCCCGGCCTTTGAGTCATCTTTGCCCATCTATCAGGAGTGAAGTTCCCAAGCAGCAAGAGTCCAATAGCACAAAGCTCCTAACATTCTATAGAATTGAAGACAAAGTGGCTTCCTGTGTCTATCTGCTGACCTCTGGCATTGCCATTTCTCAGCTTTGCAGACTCAGAAAAATAGATTTGTTCTGGAATGGTCAGTCCACAGAACAAAGACACCACTCAGAATCTCAGGGATTAGGGCAGTAAATCAAAGAGGTCTGACCCTAACTGTACAGAGCAGATGATGATGATGATGACATTTCTTCTCCCATCACCCTCACCATCAAACCCTCCTCTTTCTCCTCCTCCTCCTTCACTTAGGATTCAAATGAAGAAAAGAAGACAACTAAGCAATCCCTAAAATCCTTGCAATGTTAACTGATTGGGAAACTTCTCCCCCATCCTCCTAACTAGTTCCTACCATTTGAGGTTAATTACAAAGACATGCCATACAAATAGATAAAAGATTCTTCAAACAGGCTTACTGAGCTATAACACCCACACCATATGCCTCAGTTTTTGTAGCATGAACATTTTTGTGTCATATATGCAGAAATGAGGCCAATATTACTATTTATTTTAGAGTAGTTCATCTAGCCTGTCTATATAGACTGATCTGTTTTTAAGATTTTTTAATTATTTTAATTAGGTGTAGGTGTATATATGTCTACATGGAGTATGTACATGTTACTGCAGGTGCCTGCAGAGGCCAGAGGCATGGGATCCCCTTGGAACTAAAGTTACAGACAGTTGTAAGCTGCCTTTCATGGGTGCTGTAAACTGATCTTGGGTCCACTGGAAGAGCAGGAAATGCTGTTAACCACTGAGACATCTTTCCAGCCCCAGATTTGCCCCTTATTTTTTATGTATGTGTATATATACATTTATGTGCATGTTCATGCAAGCATGTAGAGACTAGAGATCAATCCTGGGTATTATTTCTCAAGAGCCACACATCTTTTTTTTTTTTTTAAGGCAGAGTCTCTTACAGGAGCCTGGGAGTCACTTATAGGCTAGACCAGATGATCAGTGAGTCCCAGGAATCTGTCTCTCCTCAGTACTGGTATTACAAAACAAACTACCACACATGGCAAATGTGGTACTGAGGGTCAAATTCAGGCCCTCATGCTTGCACAACTGCTGGGAATGTCTCTCTGTATGCTGCGAAGGTGTTGCTCTGATTGATTGATAAAAAAAAAAATGCTGATTGGCCAGTAGCCAGGCAGGAAGTATAGTGTAGGCAGGATAAGGAGAGAGGAGAATTCTGGGAAGTAGAAGGCTGAGTCAGGAGATGCTGCCAGCCACTGCCATGAGAAGCAAGATCTACAGATACCGGTAAGCCACGTGCCATGTGGCAAGGTATAGATTTATAGAAATGGGTTAATTTAAGATGTAAGATCTAGCTAGCAAGAAGCCTGCCATTAGGCCAAACAGTTGTAATTAATATAAGTGTCTGTGTGTTTATTTGGGTCTGAGCAGCTGCAAGCCAGGTGGGACCAGGAAAACTTCTGGCTACACACAACAAGCAAGATATCAACTGAGCTATTTCCCAATAACCTGTGTTTGCCTTTTCTGGACATTTAATATAAATGGAATCATGAATTATGTGGTCCTTCCTATCCCTTTAGGAGATATTGGCACTTGATGACTACTGGAGGAAGAAGTCATGTTTGAAAATATGGCCACTGGTATGGTGCCTATGTACCGGCTGATGGACCCACACCCATGCATATACCAGCAACACTAATTGGACTTGATGAGCATGGTGGTTTAAATGAGAAATGTCCCAGGCTCATGTATTCAAACACTTAGTCCTGGATTAGTGGCACTATTTTGGGAGAAGTTATGGGAACCTTTAGGAGATGAGGCTTGCTGACAGAAGTATCACAGGGGTTGGCTTTGAGAGCTTATAGCCTTGCCTCACTTCCTCTCTCTCTCCCTCTCCCCCCGCCTCTGCTTTGAGTGTGTAAAGTTGTAATTAGTCAGCTTTCTGTTCCTGCCACCATGCCACACCTTCTTGGACATTATAGGCTTTCCTTCTGGAACTGTGAGCCAAAGTAAACTCTTGCTTCTGTAAGTTGCTTTTGGTCATGGTATTTTTTTTTTCCCCCCCGAGACAGGGTTTCTCTTGTGTAGCTTTG